TTTTTGAATCTATTAAAAGAAGATGTAGACTTTGCATAGCTAACAAAGGCGGTCACATACCTTATTAACTTGACTTACAGTTTAAAGTGAAAAGTCCTGAGTCTAAACTTATGAACAAGATTTTTATAGATATCTTTTTACATGATTTTGCTATTTTCAAAATAAAATACTTTAAACTTGTTTTTCTTTTCAAGTCTTTTATATATATTAAAGAGAATTTCATAAATAATAAACTGGATTAAAAATAAAATTAAAAACAAAACAAAAAAGGCATTTTTTTAAATCACAAATCACTAAGAAACTATAAGTTTTATTCTGAGTCTAAACTTTTGATCACTAGTGTATATATATATATATATATATATATATATATATATCAATAAAAATTTATAATAATAAGTCTATTGTTCTATAGATATAGAACAATAGACTTATTATTATAAAAAGACTATAAAAGATATAAAAAAAGTTAAATGTTTTTTTTAAGGGTATACCCTCAAAATTTTATATTTGACATTTTCTTGGTAGCTAACAGACATCCATAAACAAATTTTCTAAAAATTTTGTTTTCAAGTTTAATGCCCATGGTTACACACGAATTTGTTTGGACAAGTTTCCATATTGCTATTTTCTTATTTAAACATAAAATTGTGAAAAAGTTAAAATAATTTATTACATTCCGGATTCTCTTCCTGGCATAAACCTGTTTTTGAATATCAGAACAGGTAGACAGATCACAACATTATTTTGATTACTATTAAAAGGATTACAATTCAAGGTTTATGAGCTTTTCCTCCCCTTAATATAAATTAAAATATGGATTTTATATTGCCTTTAACACGACATGAATAAAAAAATATCATCATCATCATCATCATCATCATCATCATCATCATCATCATCATCATCATCATCATCATCATCATCATCATCATCATCATCATCATCATCATCATCATCCTTGTTATATTCTATATCCTCAAACTACTTTAATCCTTTGTAAAGTACCAATTAGATACATTCACTATTCCTAAAATCATAACTTCTTTACATATTTTTTAGAATTAAACCAAACATCAATTTGATTATCAACACCTCTGTTCTTTCAAAATGCTAGACATTATGAATCTTCAATGCACACGATTCATAACTTAATGTATATGGTGTATAACTTTACTTTATTCTTTGATTCAAAGTTTCCCCCTAACTCTAACTAGATTTTATTGTTTTGTACAACTCGCAAATAGCTTTAGTATAATTTTTAATTGGTTGATTTTAAGATTTCAGCCCATATTTTTCAGACTTTATTAGTTATAACATTAACTTTGTTTTTTATTTGTAATACTTGAACTAACTGGTATTTTAAGAAAAATGAATTAAACTATGTAAATTTTAACTGTTAATATTTTTACAGTCATAAATTTATTGTTTGTTTTTTCTAATAAATTTTTCCTTTAAAACAGTGTTCATGGCTACTAATGAGAATAATAAAACTAAGAATTTAAAGACCAGATTTATTTTCAGACATCACGATTCACAATCACTTAACTCGCCAAATGTATAAAGACATTTAACAAACCTATTGATCAACTACTACCACAACTGAAAAGTTGTGGTAGTAGTTGATCAATAGGTTTTAGCTAGGTGCTAGCTGTTTATTTTTCATTTTTGCATTAAATTGCTTATTTTTTTTTTGCATTAAATTACTTATTTTTCTAGTGTAGGGTGGTAGTTATAGAACTAAAAAAATTAAAAAAAAATTAAAAATAAAGTAGATCAAATATACTTTGTAAGCACAATAGCTACAGCATCATTTAGAATGCTTTCACCAAACACTAACATCTTTACAAGTGGATCTGCTTTGAGAGCATGAAAGATAGCCAACGTAGCAACAGGGTCAACAGCAGATATCAAAGAACCAAATGCAAAGCTAAAAACATATAAAAATAAAACTTGTATAAAGAGATTGTTAAAATAATTGCTAAAAAAAATGCTACAGTTTTGCTAAAGAAATAGCTACAGATTGGCTCAGTTTTGCAGAAGAGCTACAGATTGGCTCAGTTTTGCAATATTAATATGATATATCATATCATTAAGCAGAAAAAAATAAAAATAAATATAAGAAAAAACAAACATTTAAACCTTTTCAGCACTTTGTTATTTTATTCCCTATTAAAGTAACTTATATAAGGTAGCATAATATTTAACAAAAAAGTATAAATAAAATTGCTAATGTGCTATTTAAAACATTATTCAAATAAACCTCAGCATAATAAAAATAATAACTATTGTAAAAAAAAGCTAAGCAGAACAATAACAACAACAAATAAAATAAATAAAAATTAAACATAAAAATAATTTTATTTGTATAACTATATTTAACTAGGAGATTTCTTTCAGAAGAGAAATGAAAATAATTCGACAAAATAAAAAATTTCTATAAGAAAAAATATAAAAACTATTACCTTTCACGAAAAGTAAGCTCATAAGCAATTTTAGCCTTTAAAAAAAAAAAATTATAAATAAAAACAGTGTTTTATTACAAGTTAATAAATAAATGACCTATGACCAATTTATCCCATCAACTCCAAAGCATTTTTCAAAAAAAAGGAATTTTAATGGCAAAAAATTTATATTGGCACAGACAAATAAATTTGTCATTGTTGAATAATTTGAATAACCCAAAAAGATTTGCTGTTATTATTTTGCTGTATTCTGTTATTTTCAACATTCTTATTAAAAACCATTGCCACAAGTAAATTTGATTTACTGTTTGTTTACAGTAACTTGAAATATATTTAACAAGTGGTTTGTTTAAAAATTATATAGTTATACAGTACTACAAAACTGTATAACTATATACTGATACTACACAACTGTGTAACAATATTTCAAACTAAAAGTGTTAAATTTAAGTCAAAAAATCCCATAAATGTAACTAAATTAGGCTTTAAAATATGATTTGCTTCTCTACAGGATTCACCTCCCCTAAGTAATTACAAAGAGAGTGCTTGAACATCAATATATAGTAGTTAATATTTTTAATAAAAATTATAAACCTTATATATATATATATATATATATATATATATATATATATATATACATATATATATATATATATATATATATATATATATATATATATATATATATATATATATATATATATATATATATATATATATATATATATATATATATATATATATTGGTTCCAAGAATGTACCAAAATAAATTAAATATTGTATATATATATTTTAATTAAGATTCTTTAGAGAAATCTACAAAACCTTAACAAAGTAAAACAAACTTAAAACTCCTGTCAAACACAAAACGACAATAAAATTATCCAAAGAAAAATCGCTATAGCACGTTCTGGAATCACGTTATCCAGCTTTTTCTTGGGAGAATAATAGGGAATCTGGCATTGTAAGGCAAATATTCTGCATATTTTAAACGCCTATCACATCGTAATACACCATCCTCATCTATTTTTGGTCTTAAACATAGTATTTTACTAGTAGTTGGTATTGGCTGACAGCGCTTTGTACTCTTCTTTGAAATTCTCTTTTTGAGCAAATTTTATTAATTCATTTTCTGCATTAGTTCTCCTGCGAATCTGCTTGCTTTTGATGACGTACAGTTAATGATAAAACGACGTACCCATGCAAGCATTCTTGTAAGTCAAAGCCAACTTGAAAATCTCTGAGGTTACAGTCTCCAGATGTTATCTTTTACAAGCACTAACAAGGTCGAATTTGCTTTAGACTTTTTTACTTCTACGTCATTGTTATCAAGTTTTTGATCAGCCAGAAAATCTGGTCCTTTCCACGTTCTAATTTGTTCTTTTAGTTCTGATACTGCGAGACCTTTTGTTATGTCATCAGCAGGGTTTTCCTTAGTTGGTACATATCTTCACTGACTTGGATTTGTTTTGGTATGAATTTTTCTGATTTTATTAGCCACAAAAGGTTTAAATTTTCTACTCTGATTATGTATCCACCATATCACATTCATGCTGTCTGCCCAGAATGTCACTTCTTAAATATCAATTTTATAAGTTGCTGCAATACTGTGACTTAACCTTAATCCTAAAACTGCACCAAGTAGTTCTAATCGTGGGATGCTTAATGCAGATAAAGGCACCACTCTTGATTTGGCTGCAATAAGGTTAATAGAAACTTTGCCATTTTTATATTGATATTTTGCATAAGTTACAGCTCCATATGCGATTACGGAAGCATCTGTAAATGTGTGAAGTGAAAGTACTACTAAACTTTTATTTTGTTGTTGAAGGCATCTTGGTATTTTTATGTCTTGTAAATCCTGCTAACTTCTTGCTATCTTCTCTCAAGAAGTTTCTTTTGGTGAATACAAAATTTTCATCAGGTGCTTGATACTTAAATGCAAAAACGTCTTCTTTTGATAACCACATAACCCCTAAGGTTTTGATCAAAGCAATACTGATTATTAAGGCTACTATTGTCTAAATCTACTTCTTGAGATCGGTCTTTACTTGGAATTTCTTTTAATTTTACTTGGAATTTCTTTTAATTTTACTTGGAATTTCTTTTAATTTTTAATAATATTTCGGAGTTGGATTGCATGTTTCTTCCAGTCCACTGGTTTTAAGTATCCAGTTAAATTGTTTGCTGTATATGCTGCAATTTTCATATTCACTTTACCATCCTAACTTTCTAGTTCTAATTCAACAGACATATCTGAAACATATCAGTTCCATTATTTAAGACGCTTACTGTAACTTCCTGTGGTTTACCATTTAAACCTAGTTCACTAGCAATGTCGTTTTTGTACTTGCATCATCCAACAAGGCATTAACTTTAATTTTCTTTCCACGATTCTTCAGGAAGACTGGAACAGTTCTAAGTGCTACATAAACACCACAACCATTAATTTTAAGTTTTGATTAAGTTGACATTGTAATGTTTGCAGTTTCTTTATGTTACTCCTCCTCTGTGATAATCTTTAACTGCGAATTTTTATTTCTTTCAATTCGGTTGTCTCGGTTAATTGGATTCAGATTATGTACCTATTTGTTGTGCATTTTGTTACATCCATTAATACATGTACATATATATATATATATATAAATATATATATATACACACTATATATTTTATATATACATATATATATATATATATATATATATATATATATATATATATACACACACACATATATATATATATATATATATACATATATATATATATATATATATATATATATATATATATATATATATATATATATATATATATATATATATAGAGTATATATTTTATATATACATACATACATATATATATATATATATATATACACACACTATATATTTTATATATGTATACATATATATATATACATATATATATATATATATATATATATATATATATATATATATATATATATATATATATATATATATATATATATATATATATCTATTATATATTTTATATATATACATATATATGTACATATATATACATACATATATATATATATATATATATATATATATATATATATATATATATATATATATATATATATATATATATATATATATATATATATATATATATATATATATATACATGTATGTATGTATGTATGTATGTATGTATGTATGTATGTATGTATGTATGTATGTATGTATGTATGTATGCAGCGTTCGAAATAATTATTTGAAGGTTGCCGATCAACACTGATCGGCAGAAATAATAAAAGTAATAAAGTAAACGATCAAAAAATTATCCAGACGATCAAATTTTTCTTAACTTTTTCTTTAATAGCGTACAGTTTAGGTGACGTCAAATTGTTTGTTTTACCGCTATCAACCTACAATAAATTGCGTTTTTAGAAAATTCTATTGATTTTGTGCAATTTTCTAAAATATCTTTACCTTAATGCCTTTTAGTACTAAAAAAATCTATTTTTAGAACACTAGCTGAACGCTATTGGTTTTTGAATACAACAGCGTACGTCCGCGTTATCGTTTATAGTTTTTACTTTTAAACTTAGCTCTTAATTCACTTTTTCACTTCAACGCGTTGCCTTTTAAGTGACGTAAAAATATTTTTTGTGACTCGAACAATTGTTTTTTATATAATGATCGTTTTTTAACAAAAATGACACAATAAAAAGGTAATGAACTTTTTAACCAATATTTGATTATTAAAACTTTTTTAAACTAAAAAAAGGTGAGAAAAAATAATCTCGTTTTGCGCTATTCATTACTTGATTCGTTAGATGATGAATCCAAGTCGATGAATGTTTTTAATCCTGCTTTTTTTGCTCTTTTGGAATAGCATTTTCTTACTGATTGTTTTGGCCTTCGCACGGCATCATTGGTCCATAACTCGATAGCAGAACTTAAATCAAATAAATTGGAATCTTTTTCATCGAAACTTACTCGAATTAAATTTTCTAAACGTTTCTCTTTCAGAGAGTTTCTTGTATCCGTTTTTACTCTATTCATTAGTGAAAAAAGGCGTTCAACTTTCGCATTAGAAACAGGCAAAGTAAATAATAGTTCGACAATAAGTAAAACCGGAACCCATTCATTTTTCATTGAGCTAGAAAAAATTTGATGCCATAACTTACGATAACCGGTATTATGTGGTGCTAAATATTTTACAGTGTAGTTTACCAAGCTATGCCAAGCATCCAAAACATCATTTACAGTTCCTGCAAAACCAGCATGTCGCAACGGCGCTCTATAAAAGTCAAAAAGATTTTCTATTCCTTCATCCAGGAATGTTTCATTTTCAATACTTTGAAGCCAACCTTCTGTATTTAAAACTTTTGTACCATACATATCAGTAATAGTATCGCTTGTTTCCAAACGCTCTATGATTGAATTTGTTACCAACTCAATATGAATAGATTTAGACTTTTTTACTAAATGTTTAGCATTTACAAAGTCGTTAAGTGCAACACCCTGGAAATAAAACTTTCCTTCTTTTTCAGTCACTTTGGCGAGAAAACGTTTTACTGTTGGCAAATTAATAAACTTTGTTTTTTGAATACGATTTAAATGGCTTTTAGCTTGTTGAACAAACCCTGATGAAGCCAACACATCTATCTCATCACTTTGAAAACATTTTGACAACATCTTTGCTGGTGCTATAATCTCAATAAACAACGCGATATAAAGGGGCATTCTAGCATGAATCCACTTTTTGTGGTATCTTTTAAACTTAGCTCTTTCAGCATTGGTAAATGTTATATCTTCAGTCATATTTTCCAGATGTGTTAAGCACCGTATTTATCTAAAATCATTTCTAAAGCCTGAACTTTATGTGAAATCCATCGTGTACCTAAAAATGAAACAAGATTATACAATTTATAATTTACTTTATACTTGCAAAAACTAAAAATATAGGCGTCACGCATAACTGTAATGGTAATAAATATAAGATAAATAAATCAAGCAAAAAAAAGAAAATACCGGAGGCTTTCTTA